GAGAGAGAGAGAGAGAGAGAGAGAGAATGAACTGAGATAATCATCTCATTGGAAGGGCACTTGCCTACCTGTGACTCAGATGTTCCTCTCATAAGCCCTGGCCCCACCTCCTTCCCAGGCTTTGCGTGCATTAAGGGACAGGGCTGCGACAGCTGTGAAAGCACTGGGAAAGAGGGGTGGAGCCTAGCCCCAAGGATACAGAGAGTGGTGAGATTAGAACCGAAAAAGGAAAAGGAGAATTGTGTGGCCTGCCGGGCAGATGGCATCCCCCGGGGCATGGACCCCAGACCCGACACTCACAGACCGTGGGGTGAGACCGCTGCACTCACGCTTGAATGGTGCTATTACTAGAAGCCCTTTCTTTGTAAGCCATGCCCTCCCAAATGTATAAACTACACAAAATTCAAACAGAACTGTGTTATACCGGTTTGCGCATCTGCTTCAGGACGACCAGACCCTGAGTGAATAAGGATGGGTCAAACAGAGAGCAGGAAGGGGAAAATTTAGTGCAACACTAGCATATATCAAGACTCTAGGTTCAAAGAAAGGAAAGAAGGCCAGGCTGGTGGCGCACACCTTGAATCCCAGCACTTGGCAGAGGCGGGTGGAGCTCTCTGAGATCAAGGTCAGCCTGGAATGGTCTTATATAGGGAGCTCCAGGCCAGCTGGGGCTACATAGTGAGACCTTGTCTCAAAAAAAGAAAGATAGGAAAGAAGGAAAGAAGGAAGGGAGAAAGAGAGGGAGGGAGGGAGGGAGGGAGGAAGAAACAAGTACTAGTTATCAACATCCTTTACCCTACATGCAGGCAGGGCCTCAAAACTCTGTTCTAAGATCGCAAAATTTTTATAAACGGGTTGTGCGCTTCTTTCCTGACACCAATGCAATGAATAACAGGAAAGGAGATTTTTTTTATCTTTAATACTAGCTGGATAGTAGTATCATACTACCTTAGCATGAGTTCTGTTTCAGTCCTAAATATGAGTAAGAAAGGCAACTGCATACTCACAAGTTTGAAGATAGCTCTGCCAAGAAGTCTCACAGAGTCAGGAGGGTATCTGGGTTTGCAGCTTTTCAGACATTTGCATTCCCGCTTGTGATCCTGCCAAGCTTTTTTCTGATAAGACAGAAGTAGGAAAGGACATCGGAGACATGAAATTTAAGTTTCATTTATACCAAATGCTAAGATTCATCAACATTAATTTCAACAGCCTAAATATAACTGCAAAATTAATGTTCTAATACTGCAAATGATCCAGATTTTAGCAGTTGTCACGTAGGCAATTACTTAGCATTAACACCTCAACTTCACTACTCTGTACTTTAACCTGCCCTCTGGTCATTACCCATGTGGTAGATTCAATAGGAAGCAGTAGAAATTTTTTTAATACTTAAACAATATTTAATAATGTATACGATGGTCTTTTAAAGAGACTATCACTCCAAGTTAGAAAATAAAACACATGGCTAAGGAAAACCAAAATTGAGAAGCTAGCATTGAGTCCCCATGTTGCCATAGAAAGTACAGAAATAACAGTTGGGCTAGCAGATGAAGACCTACAAAGCCTTGTAGCTTTCAAACACAATGTAGAAAGAAGCTAAATCACAAATGCCCAGTTTGTTCAAGGCTGTACAATCTCATACATAGGTCCTTGCTTAAATATAATAGATATTTTGAAAAGTATGTAGTTAGTCAGCAAACTCATGAGACTACCCAGTGTGATAAGGAGGCTGAAAAGAACAGAAAGGTAGTCAGCAATCTAGACATGAGTAGACTAAAGGGAAGGAAGCTAGCCTTGATAAGAGGGAAGCTGCTAGAACAAATGCCTCATGTGTTCTGTTCCAAGAGGGGCGTCCCAACACTGAAGTGCCTAATGGTCCACTTATTCTTTTTTTTTTTTTTTTAATTAGAAGAGGCATTTCATGACAACAGCATTGACATATTCAATAACAATTTCCAGAGCTAAGATGCTTCTCTTTCAAAATTGGCTATAAATATTTAGGTTTATAGTCGAATTAATACAGTTATACAATATTGTACTCAGTATAAACCCTATGACATAAAATTAAATGAGGTTTTAAACTTTGAAAAAGATCTCCATTTCATTATTAAAATACACAGTTTCATACTGAAAAATTTATTTTTAATACAATTGACACTAAGATGCATATGTGTTTCTAATCTCTATATATATGATTATTACTAGACACAGCCGGTTACTTTCTGAGCTCCTTGGCTCAGATATGGATATAAAGTCATCAGGTAGATTTCAATGGTAAATATTTTTCACATCTACTAATTATTAAGGAACAAATGTTTATGCTTTGAAGAATTTTTTTTAGTTTTTAAAGTTTTTTATTTATTTTGCAATTTTCATACAACAAAATTTGATGACATTTATATCCCCTCCCTCAAAATTGCTTTGTAATAACATGAACATTATAAAAAAATCAGAACAGTGAAGAAGGGCGCAAAACAAAACTAAGTCTCTTTCTAGATGTCTCCTCAGGGTCCACAAAGATAAGCCCTTTTGCTTTAGATTCTTCTAGAAAGTGCCATCATAATTTCATCTAGATTTACTCGCCTTATGGTCTCAACGTGTCCAAATTTGTCACTGAGAAAGATGAATTGCCCTTCCTTTTGCATGGGTTGATTATTGCTGGCTATATAGGTTTTTTTTTATCTGTAGCCTTAAAACTTTAAGGAATATGATTATATATTTTTGATCCATCAATTTAAAATAGTCACGATCCTAATATATATTTAGTGGTATCTTGTTATATTAATATGGGATTCTCTAACGATACATGCTGTTAAAGCGCTTTTCCTTTGCTTATTTTCTATCTGTATACCTATTATCTGTTCAGGTCTTCCTTCCTTCCTTTCTTGTCTTCCTTCTTTTCTTATTTTCTTTTTCTTTGGGTACACAAGGGGTGTGTGTGTGTGTGTGTGTGTGTGTGTGTGTGTGTGTGTGTGTGTGTGTGTATACATGCAGATGGAGGCCAGAGGTCATTCTCACTGTTGTTCCTTAAAACACTGTGGTTTTTTTGTTTTTGTTTTTGTTTTTTTGAGGCAGGGTTTTCTCACTAGCCTGCAGCTCACTGATTCAGCTATGCTGACTGGTCGATCAAGCACTAGGGATCCTCCTGTCCAGCACTGGAATTACAAGCGTGTACCACCACACCCAACTTTAAAATTAATTAATTATACTAATTAAATTAAGTAACTATGTGTATGAGTGTTTTGCCTGCATGCATATATGTGCACCCACACATGCAATGACCAAGGAGTCCAGAAGAGAGAATCAGATCCTCTGGAACTAGAGTTATGGATGTTTGTGAGCCGATATGTGAGTGCTGGGAATGGAACCCAGGTCTTCTGCAAGAATAGTACTCTTGTTCCCCAAACTTGGCTTTGTTATGTGGGTTCTGGGGATTGAACTTAGGTCCTCATGCTTGCAAGGCAAGCGCTTTGCTGACCAAGCTATCTCCTCAGCCCCTCTTTTGACTCTTTCCCATTTGGATCATTTCCTTATTATTAAGTCTTAAGAGTTCTTTATGTATTTCAGATAGCAGCCTTCTATCAAATATGTCTTTGTTAATATTTTCTACAAGACTGTGGCTTGTTTGACATTTTCTTGAGAGTCTCATTACCAGAGCAGAAGCTTTTACTTTTAACAGAGTTTAAATCTACAACGGTTTCTTTCAGGAGTTGTGCCTTTGGTTTTATAGATCCACCAACTGTAGACATTATGTGTTGACTGTTAATTAAGAAAAGGAAAAATTAATAACCCTGTAAATCTCAGCTATTATTTTTATTTATTATTTCCATTATTTTTAGATTATGAGGATTTAAAATATTCATATGTAATTGCATTTACTTAAGTGTAAATATGATTAGAGTTTTTAATACTCCTAAGAATCAATTCTAAAAATTAAAAATGGTATATATATTATAATTTAATATTCCTACTATATAATAATCAATGTTTTCCAACATCACTGAAGTAGTACTATTTATACTATTTGAAGGATGCTCCTCCAAGGTTCAAGGTTATTTTTAATAAACTCCATTCAATGCTTAGAATGAGGCACCTTTAGTTTGCTTCATGTCTGGGTCATGCATTTTTTAAATTATTTATTTAATAACCATATAATTAGAAGAAGCATTTCATTACAACAACATTGAGATATTAAATAACAATTTCCAGAGCTAAGATGCATCTCTTTCAAAATTGGCTGTAAATTTTTAGATTTACAGTTGAATTGATACAGTTATACAATATTGTACTCCATATAAACCCTACAAGACATAAAATAAAAAGAAGTTTTAAACTTTAAAAAAGATTTCCATTTCATTATTAAAATATGCAGTTTCATACAGAAAAATTCATTTTTAATACAATTGACACTAAGATGCACATGCGTTTCTGATCTCTATATATCTGGTTATTACTAATCACAGTCAGTTACTTTCTGAGCTCCTTGGCATCTGAGCATGGATATAAAGTCATAAGGTAGATTTCAATGGTAATGTTTTTCACATCTACTAATTAATAAGGAGCAAATTTTTATGTTTTGAAGAATTATTATTATTATTTTGTTTATTTATACACCCACTTCCCAGGTAACACCCTCCCATAGCTTCCCTCCCCCCACCAGAGCCCTTATAACTATCATATCCCTGATACTGTCTGCTGTGTTGTTGGCACCCCCAGCCCTTCACCACTACATGCCCTTCTGGTGAATCTAGTCAGCCTGCCTAGAGGTCTTTGTTTTAGGAGCGTCAGTTCTTCCTATTCTAGCAGCAATCAGTTGTCAATATTCCTTTAGAAAAGATTGGGGTCTGCTGTTCATTTTCCCA